CTGACCTGTCATCTTCCCGACTGTGATTCCCAGTATCTCTAGGCAAGTGGCGCTGTCGTCCTGGCCTTGGTTGTGAGGGGACACATAAATTTTCTGCATAGAGCAAACAAGGAAAGGCTATGATACACGAATACAAGATATGTATGTTGAATTCCCACCCAAATGTTGTCTTTTTTTCTAGGTGTCTACTACACTTTACTTTAACCCTATTTAGCCTGAGCTTTTTCTATTCGTGGACCTGGAAGGTGGGGGTCCTTTGCCCAGCCTATGCAAATAAATAAGAAATACAGTTATATAATAATAAATTTATATAGCACTTTTTTCAACATATCAAGAGTGCTTTACAATGTATCTCAAAATGTATCAATTGGCTCAGTAGTAATCAAACTTACAAGAGACGTAAACAAATCAAAAGTGTTTTAGTGATGATCACATGACTGTCAATCATGATGTCATATCATGCCTACATGATGTCACCTTTATAAAATGTCCATTTTGGATCATCTTCAAGTTCAAACATTTTTCAGTAACATCACAAATATATATATATAAAATACAAACACTAAAAAATATTTTTGAACAAAATCTCAGTCTGTAAAATCCAAAATCTCACTAAGACAGCTATTTAACTTTAAAAAACCACTTCACTCAACTCCTCTCCAGGCCTTAATACAGTTAACAACAATGTACATGTACACAGGTCACTGCATTGTGTGTTAACATTAGGGACCTTAAGATATGTTAGGGCAAGCTACTACATTGTACTACAGCTACTTCAGCTGTGAGGGACCAGGCTGACAACACCGTGTTCTCCACAAAACTCAAACCTACTTGTCTTCACAACAATGGTTTCATTCAAGGAAACCAGGGACTTAATTCTTTGTTCATAAATTTTGAGCTTTGAACTCCAAACTTTTCCCCAAATATAGTCTAATCTTAGACTTTCAAACCAAAAAATTGGCTTAACATAAAAAGCAAAAGTACTCAGAGCATCAGTTGTTCATCAATAAATTGAATACTCGTGGCTTCCGACAAGATGGAGAATCTGACCAATTCTAAAATATAATGTAATTGGTCAACGAGAAGACAAAAGGATTGACATCACCAAAATTACATAGTACTTGTGGAGTTGTTTTCATAGATGGTATTATTTGAGGGCATGAAACAAAATCCAAAAATTTGTTGTGTTCACAGGCTATGAATTCTACAGCTTTAAAGCTAGCTAAAATAATTGGCAAAGTTCACGCTAGTTTTCATAAGTAGATAACAAATGAGCAAACTATGAAAACATTGACAAAACTATGACTACTGACTTATAAATACTATGAGACAAACACCTCTAATGTTCAAAAAAATCAAGAATCTTTGTGAACAGAGGTAAAACTGTTGTTTGCCTCACTTTTTCAAAATGAAGCAAACAACAAGCAATTGGATAAAGAGGATACTAAACAAAGCAACTTAACAGTAAATATGTAAGGTTAAGGTTACTTTCAACCTTCGCTGGTGCCATTTGAGAAAAATTAGTGCGCATGCCAGTTTCAATAAAACCCTAACACCTACAGTGGTGTACATGTATATATCAGAAGAAAGCTTAATAAATGTAGTTTATGATAAAAATACAATCTAGGCGAGTTTTTCTGGTGTCAGGAGCCAGTATTAGGCATTACACAGCAGAGGGTTCTTCTATTTAATTTATCTGGTATTGGATGCCGCAACGCCAGCAAAATGACTGCACAGCCTTAGTCACAAGGCATCAATCAACAAAAGTTTGTCAGGCTTTTTCGATTTTCTGATTGCTTGTCTAGATATCCGCATCTATAGTTGGAGTAGCTAAAAATGTGTGACACATGTTGCATAAATGGACGCCACAAGCAAAATATGTTCAATATCAACATTTCCCATCACACTTTCGTTTGCCATTATCCCTGGAATGTTCTGGTGAAATTTCACCAAAATCCATCAAATCTGCATACCCTAAAAATTCAATTAGAGTGGATATTCCTTCCAAAATCAAATGCGACATTTTAGCTCATAATGGTTCGTAAACAACTCGCGCCACACCAGGAGATTATCTCGCCTTATGAAACCGCAAACCAATGGAACAGGACCTCCTAGCATCAAAGACAATAGATCATGATTTCCCAGGAAAAGTATCACATTGCAACTCATTTTTATCTCGTTGTAGCATTAAAGAGAAAGACAATAAAAGGGGAAAAGAAGCCAAAGGCAAAAGAACAACCCATGGCAAGACAAATAAAGCCAGCAAATGTACTGATAAGCACGATAGCGAATCAAATTACAGACCGCTTAAGTAGAAAGGTGTTTTTGTCCTCGTTCCTACACAGAAATTTGTCCTTTCTTTCTTCTTTGGGCTTGTTTGTTTCTGTTCCTTGGTCCTTGGTTTTTTGTTTTGAATTTTCCACTTGAAAGCAAGTGCGAAGGGCTTCTATTTACAAATTTGTCAAATGCATGATGTAAACAATACCAAATAATATGAAATGCAAGTTCCAAGATGAGCATTTGCCGCAGAAATTCCCCCGGTGATTTCATCCATTTACAAGATTATGGCACCTGCCTGGTTTATTAACTTTATTTGAAAATACATTTTTGCTAAATAACTCAGCCGCTTTCTGAGATTTCCAATACTTTTCTTTTGTAAACATTGCATAAAATGACCGACTTAAATTTTGTCAAATAAAAGAAAATAAAGTTTTTTGTTCCCTTGAAGAGGGGAAGCAAACGTAACTCTGGTGTTAAATATTCTGATTCTTTTGTTTGTTTTTATTGTGTTCAATACTTGTAAAGAACGATTTGATACAGCGATATGAAGCCCAAATTTAGTTGCTACTCTGATTGATTGGCAAAGTTGATGAATAGTTTTAGTGTTTCAATTGCCCGCCGACAGAGCCCAGCAATTTCTTTGGAGACAAATATCTTTGACCACCAAAATATGTCCTCTTCGCTCCATGTACACCTACTAAACACCACTGACATCCAAACTCTCGTATCCAAGAAAATAGCATTTATCACAAATTTCACCGACAATGAAATCAACAACTGACCAAAATTCGTATCGCATAATGTCTTCCACTGTAAGAATGAGTGACTTGCACACAAGTTGATTCAATTCATCGCTAAGCTGATAACAAAAGAAACGCAGCGTACGCGAAAGATCAATACACTAGAAATTCTACTGATAGAAACTTGGTACCAGAGGAAAACCTGTACATGTCAGGTTCTAAACTAAAGAGTACATGGTGGAACATACAACTTCAATCTATTCACCTGGTCTGTGTTGACGGGTACTCGTCGTCAAATCTAGATTTAGAAGTGGCTTTTTCGGGCAGGTGGACTTCCCACTATCTTTTTCCAGCAATTCGCACTCCTTTGATTTGTTTTCCTCTCGTAATTTTACTCCCAAACTTTCAATTTTAGCCTGTAAAGCTGTCGCCATCCCCCATATTTACAGTTTGTGTCCTGACAAAAATTTTCAGTCATGCGTATTAAAGTTTGAAGGAATCAATCCCAGCCTTCTTTGCAACATAAGCGCCCCCTCCCCTCCCCATGGTTTATGGAAGAGTACTGAGACAACAAAGGATGTATAGTTAAGTGTTCAATCACAAGCAAGTAATTATCGACTCATTCAAGCACGGCACACACTGACCGTCGCAAGGGACAGTAGTGAAGACCTGCTGATTCATTGCCTAATGTAAAGGTCCAGTAAAGGGTCATAAAGCCCAACGGCTAAAAGGGTTATTACGTAGTTCTTCAAGAGAGACAGGATCCTTCTGAGACTTCTAAGGAATGACACATACATATATTACAAAAAAAAAAGATCATATCTGACCACGATTTGGGAAAAAATTTTATAAGCGCTCCCCTCGATTCAGCGACTCCCTCGAATAAGTGCCCACGGTCTTCTCCTAAATTTGGAATAAGCGCCCCGGGCGCTAATTTGATTGATTGATAACTTGATTTATACACGGTAAAAAATTCCTTCAGCACGTAGAATATTTAAGTCTGCCTATAGTGTAGCTAAACTAACTAATAATTAACAAAAACCTATGATATCACTAAAGCTGCTTTTCAAGAATGCCATGTCTTATCCAAAGCTGTAATGACGCAGTTTATAAAGAAACTGTAGATCCGAGTTCAAAAGAAAGGTTGCCGGTTCCATTAAATAGAACCCCTGTAGGAAAAACGTCTTTTTAAATAATTGGTGTGAGGCTGTGGAAGAGCCAATTTATTCTCAGAATTCCTCAGTCGATGTTCGAGATACGAATAGCCTTTGATGACTAAGTTTTCACCTAGGATATTGATTGGGGGATCATTGATTTTTAGGATAACAGAAGGGGGGATCTGTCACAACTGAGAGCTCAGAAGAGGGCAAGCACTTGGGATGGTTAGATTTTTGGTATGTCAACTGANGTAAAGGGTCATAAAGCCCAACGGCTAAAAGGGTTATTACGTAGTTCTTCAAGAGAGACAGGATCCTTCTCAGACTTCTAAGGACTGACACATACACATATTACAAAAAAAAGATCATATCTGACCACGATTTGGGAAAAAATTTTATAAGCGGTCCCCTCGATTCAGCGACTCCCTCGAATAAGCGCCCCCGGTCTTCTCCTAAATTTGGAATAAGCGCCCCGGGCGCTAATTTGATTGATTGATAACTTTATTTATACACGGTAAAAATTCCTTCAGCACGTAAAATATTTAAGTCTGCCTATAGTGTAGCTACACTAACTAATAATTAATAAAAACCTACGATATCACTAAAGCTGCTTTTCAAGAATGCCATGTCTTATCCAAAGCTGTAATGACGCAGTTTATAAAGAAACTGTAGATCGGAGTTCAAAAGAAAGGTTGCCGGTTCCATAACATAGAACCCCTGTAGGAAAAACGTCTCTTCAAATAATTGGTGTGAGGCTGTGGAAGAGCCAATTTATTCTCAGAATTCCTCAGTCGATATTCGAGATACGAATAGCCTTTGATGACTAAGTTTTCATCTAGGATATTGATTGGGGGATCATTGATTTTTAGGGTAACAGAATGGGGGATCTGTCACAACTGAGAGCTCAGAAGAGGGCAAGCGCTTGGGATGGTTAGATTTTTGGTATGTCAACTGACATCGGATATCGGGATCCAGACTAGCAAAAGACACGGATCAAGAGACTGCACCATGGTGGCTTCATTTTCAACTGACATCAGATATCAGGATCCAGACTAGCAAAAGGCACGGAGCATTAGACTGCACCACGGTGGCTTCATAATACTGTAACAGAAGCATATCACCTAGCTAGATGCTATGCTTCTGACTGTAAGTACATATCATAGTTAGACATATTACTGGCATATGAACGTTATCGAAAGGTGTATATGTGTGCGAAGACATGAAGGATACGATCACAAAACATATCAATAGTTATGAGGGGATCACTTTAATGAAATAACATTTAAAGGGGGATCAGCTAAATGTTACTGTCTTCAGCCGAAAATCCTCCGAGCCCCTTTCCCCCCCCCCCCCCCCCCCCC